CCGGTACCCATCCCTACTCTTGAGGCCTGGAGTTGGCCACCACTGCTTTAGATGGCATGATGTTGTGCTTTTTTAGATCTTTTAGCCTGCTTCACTTTGTCAGACAGGTTCTATTTAAATTATTTCTTGATTCAACAGGTCTGCCAGTAATCAGGCCCGAGTTTGTTTAGTGAAACTGAACTCAGCTTTCTAAAAGTGGTTAATCACCATTAATTGTTTAAAAAGAGGGGCAATTACTTTTTTACACAGGACCTGGTAGGTTTGGAAGACTTTTCTCCCTTAATCAGTGAAATGCTCATTTAAAAACTGCATTTTGTATTTACTTTTTTTTATTTACATTTTTTTGATGATCTGAAACATTTAGGTGTGACAAAACACTAGGAAATCAGGAAGGGGGAAAACACTCTTTCACACCACTGTAGGTGTCCCATCATCATTCAAAAAGCCTTGAGGCTGCCAAAGGAAACAGGCATAGCACTGCAAATATTTCCTGGATGAACAATTCCCAATTTTAATGAATTAATCTCAATTCACTCTATTACTTAAAATGTAACATGTTGATAATTTTCAATTTATGCAAGTTCTAAGAAATTATCTTTTTTTTTCATATATTTTTATTGAAATTTTATTTTATACAATACAAACAAATATTTGAACACCCTCACATTGACACACCCATCCACACTTCAAACCCTTCTTCTTTCCTTCTTTCTCATGAACAGCCTCCACCTCCACTCCCTATCATATCCTTGTATGGCTTCCACATATTCATAAAGTCCAATTGTTTGCCCTTGGCAATATATGTTAGCCTTTCCAGGCCTAGAGAGTCTGCAATTTCCTTCTTCCAGAGTCCCATGGAGGGAGCATCGATACTCCTCCAACATAGTGCAATGGCTCTTCTGGCTTTAAGTAGTCCATAGTCCAGTAATTTAGTCTGTTTTGCCAGTTGCTTAAATTCCCTTGGACATTCTAAGTACACAGAGTTTACCTTTTAAAGGGATTTTTACCTTAAACATTTCAGACAGACATTTGATTGCATCTTTCCAAAATTCCTGGATTTTAGGACATTCACATGGAGAAGAGATCCCTTTTCAGCTTAACATTTAGTAGAGATGTCTGAAATGTGATTGAACATATGATGGAGCTTGATGAGTGTTTTATAGGTTCTATAAAAATATTTATATCGGAGAAGAGTAAAGTGCATGTTTATTGTTTGTTTTTGTGCTTTTAAGCAAGACTGGTTCCAATCATTGTCATCTAAGTCCTCTTGGATATCCCTTCTCCATGCATCTAACATGGCTGAGTCTTTGGCTGAGGAAAGCATCAATAAGTTATAATACATAGAAAGAAAGCCTTCCCTTTTGTATTCTCAATGCATACCTCCTGTATTTTTTGTAATGGTGGAAGGTCAGGAATCTGTTGCATTTTTGATGACATATAATTTTTCAATTGTACCCACATAGTAAAGTTGGTATCTGACCCACACAATCTGCTTACACAAGGCCCACATGACGGCCCTTTGGTGGCCCAAATCAGGTTTGGCAGATGTGGCCCAGACATGGGCCAGCACAACGCCAGTTGTAGACACACTGCTGGCCCTGTGCTGGCCCAGAACAGTTTCAGCTCTGGCCCCAGATGTCAGCCTAATGTGTACCTTAATCAAGCCATGTAATAACAACATGTGCCGGAACATAATAGTGCAAAAGTAACATGACAAAACTCTGTTTGCACAGTAAATGGACTGATTGTTATATAGTGCTTTTCGAGTCTCCCAGATTACTCAAAGTGCTCTATACAACATGCCACATTCACCCAATCACACACTTTCTCTAAACTGAGTGCTTCCTCACATCTGGTTGACATACACCCTGCCGTGACACCAGTCAGTCAGAAGTGCCAGCTTGATGTCGGATCCGGGCCACACCTGTCTTCTATGGGCCTGGGCCACATAAACCAAACCACAATCAAGCCAGATATGGCATGTCATTACATAGACAGGCCTGGCCCATATCTGGATGACATACGTCTTATCATGCCGGAAGTCAGCCAGCAGTGCCGAGTGCCAATCTGAGCCAGACCTGTCTGCTATGTGTGTAAGTATTTAAGGAAGTGCTTTTGGGGGTATTAAATATTTTTTACATAACTGACCAAAAGTGAGCAACATGCTGTCTGCATATAGATCTTTAACTTTTTGAATCCCTTCAATTTTCCACATTTTAAATCCTCCATCACTTTTACCAGGAGTAAACTTTTCATTACCCCAAATAGGAGTGAATTGCGAAAGCGTTGGAGGATCGCCCACATTTTTATGTGTTGCATGCCAAATTATAATTGTAGTTTTTCAAAAATGGGTTTGTTGTATTCTTTTTTAATATCTCGGTGTCTGAAGAATATAGAAAAGTGTTTAAGGGAAGATCTGGAACAAATTCTTGCTCAATGTCGACCCAGGCTGGAGGTGTTGTTGGGCAAAAATAATGGGTGGCTGATGTTAGTTTGGCAGCCGTATAATACCGTCTGAGGTGGGGGACTTGGAGACTTCTTTCATAGGGCAGACAAAGTAGCTTTAGGTGGAGCCTTGCCTTCCTATTACTCCAAATAAATTGGTTAAATAGTTTGTTTAAACTGTCAGAAAATGATTTGGAAGTGTTTGGAAATAACATAAACATTTTGGTTAGATTTAACCATCAGTTTAGCGTTTCTGTGACTTCTTCTACAAGGGGGTCATAATTAATTGAGGTTATGTCCTTGAGGTTTGGGGTGATCCTGATGCCTGAAGTATTTAAAGCCTACCATAGTTGTTTTAAACAGGTTGGCCACAACGGGCCTTCTTCTTTCTTCCTCATTAAGAAACATTAATTTTGATTTAGAGATTAGGGATGCTATCTTTCAAATTAGTCATAAGAATATTATATCATCTGCAAATAAATAAATTAGGTCTCTTCCTCCAATTCTAATACCTGATATTCCTGTATTTGCTCTCACAGCTTTTCGGCACATAAGTGTCGCCATTCGGCACATAAGTGCAGAGGACAGTCAAGCCCCATATCCTGACCTGAAGGTGCAGGGAACAAAACCTCAAAATACCAATTTTACTCCAAGAGCACATCGACAACGTGTGATGGTCTGGAGCTTTTCTAATGCCTCATGACCTGGAAGACTTCCTCTGGTAAATTCAAGCCTGGATTCTGCTGTCTACCAAAACATCCTGAAGGAGATTTTCCAGCCATCTATTCGTGATCTTAAGCTGAAGCTCACTTTCTGCATCAGGACAAGATGCTGTGGCATGGCCACAGCTTCTCAGCAGGTCATGTTCAAAAACCCTCCAAGGTGGTTGAATTACAACAAATCTACAAAGATGTACCAAAATTTCTCCACAGCTGTAAAAGACCCAGTGCCAGTTATTGCACATGATTGCAGCTGTTTGCTGCTAAGGGTGGTCCAAAAAGTTATTAGATTTAGGGACAATCACTTTTTCACACAGGGCCATATAATTTTGGATTTTTTCCCCTTAATAATAAATACCTTCATTTAGAAACTGCATTTTGTGTTTACTTGCGTTATCTTTGTGTAATATTTACATTTTTATAATTATCAGAAACATTTAAGTGTGACAAACATACAGAAAAACAGGAAGGTGGCAAACATTTTTTCACACCACTGTATTTTTGGATGGGGAATGTCGCTGCATAGCCACTTTCAGATTTAGAGAAATTAAATCAGGTTGTTTGTTTTGTTTTGTCACGTTGTTTTGCAGGATGTTTAACAATATGAAAAACATAAATCATAATGACAACAGAAAACAATCAAAATCATACATAACCTGAAACTTTTGGCATGATAACACACACATGTTGACACACACAGGTTTAAATGACTACTAAAGGTAGCTATCCTCCCCTGTGATCTGTTTGCTTGTAATAAGTGTATGTCTATAAAACGTTAGTGAGTTTCTGGGCTTGGGGGCATGATGAAAGCAAAAGAATTATTAAAGGATCTCTAGGAGAAGATAGATGAACTTTACAAAACAGAAAAAGGATATAAAAAGATATCCAGGAATTTGAGACTGCCAATCAGCAGTATCTAAACTCTGATTAA